AGCCATTTGGTGGCTTGATCACTGTTTTGACAGCTGAATCATACCCGTTGGAAATATTCTATTCGCTGTTTTGTATTCCCTTTCCTCTATGGTCACATTGATCTGAATGAGCTGCTCATTCACTGTCGCATTGAAATGAATTCATCTAAAGGGAGATGTTGGTTGTTGGTGTTCAAACATCGTTGCCTACACCGCATTTCACGATTCGAGTAGCATGAACGGAAGGCAATGTTTAGGTTAGAATCTGACCCAAGAGCATGACCTCCATCAACTACAATAGAGAACATGTTTCAGGCATATCACGAAAAAGGCTGCTCCACCATGCGAGGCATTCAGTGGGTCTGAGGGTACCATCAGCCAATTGACATCTTTGCTCACTAATTCATCTGTCCGGCATCTGCATCAGTGCTCGACTGACTTTTTTGATCCGTTTGTTAACAAAAGGCAAGATTTGATCTGCTTAAATGCTTCAGGTTACTTTCTGTTAGATGTATCTTGCGATAACTTAAACCTGTAAGCTGTTCAATCCATCCGAACATTCCAGCCTGGTGGCCTTTAGAAACGAAAAAGTCAAAACAAATCATTCAAGCCCTACTGCTGGAATAATCGTTGAACAACAAGGCTTGCGCTTGGTTGTTTTGCCCCACCGTTTGATCTGGTGTTGGCAAATCCAACCGCCGCTTTCTTACCGTCAAACTATTTTAACCGTAGAGATCTCATCAGACTCATCAGTTTGATTCCACATTATAGAATCACCTCGTGGGCGAAGGTCATCAGATTTTTTTCTGGTTAGGGTGTGTACTAAAAGCATCCTGAAAAATTACGTCAAGTCTTATTCTCTGTACTTAATGTTTGGTTACGGGAACTGAATATCTGTGTTCAGTAACTCAGATCGTGAACCTCGTAAGACTCCAATGCTTTTGTGTAGAATCGTGTTCGCCACCAGACTGGAATGCCAAATCGCAGGGACTGGTGTACAACTTTGGCTGATTTCAGCACCGGAATTTCGAAGCTAATCGTTCACTGAAAGTTTCCTTCCTATGCTACTGCAGTTTATCTGCCATTCGGAAAGCTTTCGAATTCGTGACGACTATACTGTTTCCCCCTATGTAGCTTAGCGACATCGAAATCTGTATTTCCACGACTGTATGTGCACAAGTGTTGTTTGGTCATTCGCCAATGTGTTGGGACACCGATGTCCTCGATACCTCATATACCCCACTGTTCAACTTAGCTGGTGATTGTATATCCTTGATTCCTTGAGGCAGTTCACGGTTTTTAATCAGGGTTCACCATCCCCCGTTGACTACTCGTCAATCCTGGCTTTAGTTTTGGAGATTGGCTTTTCACCCCCCCCCTTCAATAAAGACAACCCACCACTAGAAACCAAAGTTAAGATTTCCTCGGTTGATTTTGCTAATGCAGGCAATAGGTGGCGTTTCGAGCGGAGCCCTAGGTAGTGAACGCTTGACCGTGATGTAACGTTCGGACCAAATGAATTGAATTGAACTGATGTATTTCATGCGCATCACTAGAGCAATTTTTTCTATTACAGGACATTTTATCCAATCGAGTCGCTGACCCTTCATTCTCTGAGTACATTTCCCAATACATTGTTGGTTTGGTCATGTTGCCTCCGGAGACCCTTAGCAATCGCAGTACGACCTTGGCTGCTCAAGTGTTTTTCCAAGGTGAATCGTATCATGCCTTACCAACCGCTTTGAACACATTCGCGAACGCTCGATTGCTGTTCCTGATTCGGCGCTCTGCGGTATATCCCGTAAGTACTGGGGAGCAAATACATTTTCATCGTTTTTGGTCTTTTGACCGTTTACATATTTCGTCCGTCAATGTTCTTGTTTTACATAACCTAGGTATGCCAGATTCCTGTTTGAATTCAGTTTTGTCTGACGAGAATCCATACACTCAGCTGGGATGTATCACTAAGTGATCTCAACTTTTCGTGCTTATTTTTTCGTTTGAATGTGTTTAGAATCTTAACAGCATGAGTGTTCCCCTGATAGCATTGAGAAAGAGTTGTTGAGTAAACAATTGTTTCTGATTATTTCCAATCACTCTCTTACAGGTAATATAAAGAAACAATATTCACATAATAATAGCTATCGGATGTGTTTAATGTAATTAATTTGAGATAGAAAGTAGGGTTCGAAGCTGATGTGCTGGCGTGTTACCTGGTGTGACAGTTTTTCACTTAGGTAAGGTAACACGTCATGGTCTGTCATAGTCTTCACACCCAGGTTCAGTTTCCGTTTATACAACCATTATCCATGCACTTTCGTGCGCCGGTTTTGGTTGCTGTCTTTTAGCTGCACATTTGGATGAACAGTAGGAGAAAGACAGAAAGGTTGAGAGCAGCATCGATTAGAGAATTGAGAATTTCAGTGATCTGCTGTTACAAAGAGATTGAGAAGATGCACGAACGCCACTGTTTACGACTCCCATCCATATCACTGTGTCTCTAACCACTGATTACGCTGATCCCGAGGTCCAAGCTATCTAGAAAAGCTTGCAACTAACCTGGATCGTTACTTACTAGCACAATATCGTCTGCATACTCCAGATCAGACAGTCTGTCATCTGGGAGCAAATCGATGCCACCATCCTCGCACGAGGATAGGGCTGTTTCCATAATCAAATCTATAACAAAGTTGAATATAAACGAAGAAAGAGAGTAACCTTGACGAACACCACTTTCCGTGGTGAACTTGGGCGAAAAAGTGCCTTAAGGTCGTACTCGTCTCTTCACACAAGCCCAGTATAGTTGAATTGAGTCAGTCAGGCTTTTTCGAGGTAGATCAGTTTGGGCGAGTGGCGATCACCTCAGCCATGCCCAGTACCCAGATTCAATCGATTGAGTTGTATGTGACGAAGTTGAAAGGTCTCTCTGATCCGATATTGAGTCCTCAAGATGAGCCACGATAACGCTGTGGTATCGGTTTTCCCCCAAGGTACTCATTACAGGTGATGTTGCTTAACGTGTTAAGATTAATGCTGTACCATTTAACCTATGAAACTTGCGCCGTCGATGTACTTGAAGGAGTAAGTTACCACGGCTTAGGTCAGTTCCGGTGGTTTGTTTTACAGCTGCATTCATATCACTGGTATTCTTAGGGAATTCTGATTTAAGTCTGGCTGCAGGGAACATGGATATTTTTATGGCTGCTCTCGGTGGCTGTAGTAAACCTTCAGTTTGTGAGTCCAGCTTAAGCGCAATCCTTATGAATAGCTCTTTCTTGGGGACAGAAACGAATTATTCCTTTTCCGAGTGAGTGGTATTTTTCTGTCAGTAAACTTCCCCGATCAACGATTGTCCTGCCACGTTTAGCCGATGAACACTACTTCGCCCACAAGTGTATCTACTAAATAAATCTTAGGAACTCTAAACAGTGGACACCGAACCAGAACACGTTTGTATTTCACGAAGTTTAAGCTCTAAAATTTTATGTTTTGTATAATATTTTATTTTTGACTATGGATCAAACTGTTTCCATCACTGGAGCTTTCCAACTTCAGATGTATGTTTGATACAAACTGAAAACTGCCGCCAAGACTGAACCTGACCTGTTGAAGACTAACGATTCGGTCGGGCACTTTACTGTGGCGAATTCAGACTAGTTCCAACTGGGGTTTCTTCTATGAAACTTAGGAATACCATACTTAGGAATACCATATCATAGGAATACCATACATACCATACCATACAGAATACCATATCATACCATACAATATATATGAGATTGACGACTGTTTCCTCCCTCTCGGATGTGGTGTTGTCTATGTTCCACTGTATATTTATTGTCTTTGATGTTATCTTCCACCTTCCTTGTTTCTTTTTTAGTGCATTTCGTGAACTAATTACAACCTGTAATGCTCTCGGATAGTTTTCGAACATAATTGTCTTTAATCATAGCGACCACCCCAGTGCTTTAATCTGATCCTTATTCTTTTCGAATCCCGATTATGTGCTTGTGCCTTCCAGTACTTACAGCAGCTTGTCATCAGACCTCCAACTTTTCGCACGATTTCGATGTTTCTGAAAACTCACCCTTTGCGTTGCTTGACTTTACTTGAACGTTGGGTCCTTGGTCGATTTATCGGGCTTTCGAAACGCATGTCCATATCGAATTTAGCCACTTACGAACGTTTTTTCTCTGATAACTGATCCACGATATGTCGACGTTTGGAAATATTCCATTCAAACTCCACCATTTTGAAATGTCGCGGATCATGCATATTCAACACATGTCTCCGGAGAGATTGACTGTTGTGATAAATGCTATCTGATCAAAGTTGGTCTTGGAAACAACTGGAGTATTCATCGTCAATCACACGTGCATGTAAAAGGGCCATGTGTGTGAATGGCAAATGCTAGGGGCTTTGAACGATCTCAGAGTTTTGCATATCCTGAGAAAACGAGTCAGTGAATGAACCATTGGTTTCGTTGATTCCTATCCTATTCCTATCCGTTCTCCTATGAATCATATAGTGCAAAAGTGTGTATTCACTGAAAAGATATTTCGAGCATACCAAAAAGGATCGTCGCTGGCCGACCCGTTTTCACAGTTCACGTTATAAGTGAACCATTGCTTAACGTCTTGTAACTGGGGGATTTCGATTTCTTGTTCAAATCTTGCCGATATTAAGAAAAATCGTTAGAATCGATAAAATTAAGCTGGTTCTCATTAGTGATAATTGTGTTCGATTAATCGGTCCACGTGACGTACCTTTCCGTCCACTTGTCACTGAATTTTCACGATGCTCACACCAAATGGTGTCCTATCGAGGTATGCCTGACGGGCTAGCTGTAGCTGGGTGAGCAGTACTGAAAGAATGAAAGTCCGGAATCCTCCACTCCGATTTTGTAAAGTCTCGTGATACCTGAAATGCTTGTTTGTATTTACAAAGACTTGAGTGGACAAAATGTCCGCGTTTCGGTCAAAAATTCCACTTCATCTCATCAAATAAAAAGGAGATGATAACACCTATCGTTCAAACGTTGCTGAGAAATTCCACAGAAATCCGCTCTCGATTTGTTAGGATTGTAGCATGACAAGGAGCAATAGAATTCCTTAATATTTTAGTGCGAGGAAGTGGGAAACAAAATGCAGAACAAGTTGACCTTTGAGAGAAACCAATGGTTAGGTCGCCGTGTAAAGGATGAGTGGACTCAGAAAGGGGTTGTATGCATATTTTTCACCTACGGACAAGTGTAATTTACACAGTTTTTTAAGCAGGCCAACAGAAACCACATAGAAACTTTGAACCGTCCGGATCTTCGAATCTGAAGAGGTTATCCCCAGCGATTTTTTTTACACAATTTCCAGTATGAGATGTTCACCTTTAAGTTGTTGTGTACAGATTCCGTCGAGGAGTTTACTCCATGGTTCGGCACCACCACAGATGTAAACAATTCCGCGAATCTCATTGCGAGAGATTTATGTGAACTGCCTGCATTCTCGTAATAATTTCTCGAAGGAAAGTGCAAACGAGCATTCCCATACCCATGTTTTTTATGACACACCATTGTTCATTCATTTTTTATTGCACACTTTTGTGATGAACAACAGTCGCGGTGGACCCCATAGTCACCAGGATCATTTCAGTGATAGAAACCGGTAACCCAAGCCCCAGGTTTGCGAGTGGTGAACCACATAAGGCCGCGCTAGGTTGGTTGTGGTATAAAACCGGGTGACAACAAAGCTGCCCACTACCAAAGTTGTGTGGTGATGTCAAGGTTCGAACCTCGGATCATAGGACCTAAAACACACCGGTGATAACGAATAAACCACTGCGCCACCGCCACTCTGTTTAACTTTACTGATCTTGCACTCGTTTCAGCACCATCAATCAGTTCTGATTCACACCCTCGTCTTAATCTTTGGTCATTTACAGCTTGATTGTCCGCTGCTCAATCCGCACACAAAATTGCCCCAGTTGGGCACATTCAATCAACCTTTGCCGTTGACAAACGAAGAACGAGCCGCACGGATGGATTCCATCGATGGTTTACAACAGGTCCTGATCGCGGGCTTCCCTCTCGCGTCCACTCTACTTTTGGCCATGTCATTTGCCGCAGCCAGTTTCGGTCCGGCTATCATACACGAATATGTGACAAAAGCGAAGCATTTACAAATTGTCTCCGGTGTGAAGTTAGGTTAGTTAATCAGATAGACATAATCCGATCCCTCTGTGTTGAAATGATGTATTCACTTTTACTTCTCATCGCTGGCCGCAAATTTTATTGCCACCGATTTAAACGCCACGCAGTTGAACATTTCGACTGGCTTTTCAGTTATTTTTCATGGTAGTGTAACATTTCAGTTGACCTTCGAGCAGTTTGATTATCTTAGCAATTGACAAAAAATAATAATGATTAACCCTAGAGTATATTTTTACGGTAACAAAGCCCACAATAGTAAATTACAAAACCATGAGGTCTTTCCATGTCCCTCTGAATAACTAAAACCACTATTCTGGGTGGTTTGATGCATTGAGTATTCCTTCTCAATCGTCTGGGACACCTCCATCTCGATATTAATCCACAAGAAAACCAATTAAACATTCTTGGAGAGTTCCAGATATAGTGTATTTTGAAATCAATTCGCATCTACCAGAGAATGCTATCGGGTAAGGGTATGGATTAACCAGTTTTGCATCTTGTGGTGACCCTGTCAGCGGTAGCGATTTCCGCACCTCGATGTATCGTAATATCGAAAACATCAAACGGATAAAGCCATAAGTAAATATGGGAGTACGAGCTGTTCGTTACCAAAAGAGACTGCTCGAATTAAGGGGCGCTGCAAAAGTTCGTCATAACTCTGTCTGTCCAAAGACCGCCTTCACAAGCGGTCAATAATTGCCATCGCATGCAGATCTAACCACAATCTCAGGCTATCTTGACAATCTTCACTCGATCATCGTTCGTACTACAGACTTCAATGAGACCGTTTAGTTGGAAAATAACTGGTCAAAAGAGTTCTTATTTCGATAAATAAGTTCTGAAAGATGAAGGCGCCGTTTTTGTTGTTCCAATAACTCGTCTTATACAAATGCCACAGAAAGCCTTTGTAGTTATCGCAGACTCGCGCCTTTGTAAGTCTTAAATGAGGGTACATCAATGGTTGTTCTCCAACATCAACTTATACACCTTTCTCACAGCAATGGTGCTTTGCCTTTTTCTTCCAAATTTTTTAACAGAACCCACTAAACGGTACATGGAATTGGCACAACAGTGGTTCATCTATCCGATCAAAATGAAAT